TAACAACCATCTAAGGAGTGACCAGTGAAGTTATCACTAGGCTGTAATGTAAAGACTGCATTTTCTCTGAAAAGACGGTGTTTACAAAAAAAAGCCTGACGATAATGATTCTACTCACCAGTACAAATTCAATAAGCTGTAGTTGTTCTGGTGACTCTAGTGTCCCTTTAACTATATTCATTGTCAGCCAGTCCACACATATTTTGTTCCCATACATCCCTCTTAAGTTTCCATACTTAAGTAAGAGTATGTGAAAAGTAGTTAGGGTTGCCACCTTTCTTGGAAAAACATACCGGCCTTGCTAATTTGCATAATTAAATATGTATGGGTGACATCACATGATGTATATCACAAGGAGTGGCATAAGAGAAAATGCTGTAAAATCACCAAAAAAACTACTTAGTTTGATTCTGCTGTATAGATGCATTCCTCCCAGTGGCCCCATGTCTCCCAGTGCCCCCATGTGTCGATTACTCCAGGTCTTAGTGTTCCTATGTATCAGTGTCTCAGTGCCCCATGTCTCCCAGTGTCCCCTAGTGTCGTGTCCCCAGGTCTCTTAGTGATCCTATGTATCACAGTGTCTCAATGCCCCATGTTTCCCTGTGTCCCCATGTATCCCAGGGTCCCCATGTCACTAGGAAGACGGGAAGACCTAGGGACACGGAGACACCAGTGACACTGGGTGACTAGGGGACTCTGGCTGGGACGCATGGGGACACTGGCAAAATAGGGGATACTTGAAGACATGGGGACACAGACACCAGGGACACAGACACTAGAGACACTGGCTGGGGGACATGGGGACATTGAGACATGGGGGCACTGGGAGACATGGGGACAAGGAGACACCAGGACCACAGACACTAGGGACACTAGCTTAGAGACATGGGGACATTGAGACACTTGAGGCACTGGGAGACATGGAGGCACTAGGAGACATGGAGACAGTAAGACACTGGCAGACTGGGGGTACTGGGAGACTAGGGGTCACTGGGAGTCGGGGGGGGGGCACTGAGACACCAGGGAAACTGGCTGGGAGACATGGGGACACTGTGTCCCCATGTGTCTGTGTCATAATGTCTCCCAATGTCCCTTAGTGTCTCAGTGTCTGCCATAATGTCTCCCAGTGTCCCTTAGTGTCTCAGTGTCTGCCATTATGTCTCCCAATGTCCCTTAGTGTCTCAGTGTCTGCCATAATGTCTCCCAGTGCCCCTTAGTGTCTCAGTGTATGTCTCCTTGCAGCCTTTCCCCCATCCCTTGCTTCCCTGAGCTGTAGGCTGTCTCTGCAGGGTGGGAGTTGCTGTCTGGACTCTCTGTAGCTGCACCCCTGCAGATCAGTGAGTATAGATAGGCAGGGAGGGATATACTGGAACTTCCTATCCCTGCCTGTCTCCACATACAGCGACCCCTACTGGCCAGTGCTGGTATTGCATAGTAATCTCTTGTTTATACTGAGAAAAATACCAGCATTTGTATTGCCAGTATCACTGTAATATTGGCACCAGCCAGGAAGCCTCAAATACTGGCTGTGCCAATAAAATAAAAGCCAGGTGGAATCCCTAAGAGTAGTGTGTGGGGAAAAAAAAAGTAAAATAAAAAATAAAAAAATAAAAAATTATTTTTTATTTTTTTATTTTTTAAATCAATGGGCCTATTCCATGGGCCTGGGCCTGGAGCTGCAGCTCCATCAGCCCCTATGTTAATCCGGCCCTGAAGGCAGGGATACCCCAAAATGATTTAAAATGATGTAAAGTGATGTATATCTATATGATATATTTGTATAGAAAAGACGTATCAACCCGAGAATTATTGCTTAAATGAACCTATATCCTTTGAATGTGTTGTATTAATAACCCAGAAGTGAGGCTTGTAACATAGGCTGAGTCCATTTGTATAAATGGATAAGTAATGCAGACCCCTGAACGCGTGGGAGTCAAATGGTATATACAGTGAAGTGGACTTGATTTGTGGATGTAATACAATACTGACAATATTTAAAAGTAATCAAAATAATCTATTTAAGCAAGCAATTCTTTAACCGAACGTTATATACACATGAAATGGTGAATATAATTCATGAAAGGATTATACGTGAACACACAGAAAAGCCGAAAGCAAATGTGAGGGAAACACAGAAGTTAGAATAGTTTAACCGTATGACTTATGCGAACCAAAAGCGTGTATGAGCGTATGTAAAAATTTGCCGAACGGCAAAACAACCGAATAATAATTTGTTTCAATAACATGAAATAGGATATGCGAAATTACTATTGAACGATTAAATATGTTCAGCCGAATGACCGTACGAATGAAAAAGCCCGCGAATGGCTTGAAACATTCGTGTCATAACCAGGGAAAAGCCGTAAAGCGAGGACCCGTGCTGTATTGTACGCCGTGGGAACCGGTCCTGGCGTGACAGGAAGGTCTGACTTACGGTTTAGGAGTCCCTGGGACGCGATCTACGACGGAGACCAGAGTCAGAAGAAGCTGGACGGGCGGAAAGGCCTGAACAGGATTCCTGGACACAGCTTAACGTGGTGAAACCTCCTGTTTACTGAAACCAAGATGGCGTCTGAGAGAACCCAGAAGTGGATCCTCATTCAACGCTGACCTCGAACGGTAAGGAGCCAGGCAAGGGGAGTGCCTTAAGTAGGCTAGGGGTAGCAAACCAGCACCTCCCACAAATGCAGGCAAATTGCCTTAATACATATATATATATATATCTTACTTTTGGAATAACTATTATTTGGGTGTTACTCGGATTAAACATTATGACTATGTAACCGATTGCTATTTGCTACCTCAACAGAGGAGCATTTGGCCATTCTGTTAAAGGACCACTATAGTGCCAGGAAAACATACTCGTTTTCCTGGCACTATAGTGCCCTGAGGGTGCCCCCACCCTCAGGGTCCCCCCCTCCCGCCCGGCCGGAAAGGGGAAGGGCTTAAACTTACCTTTTCCAGCGCTGCCGGGAGCTCTCTCCTCGACCTCCTCCGTTCACTCCCGCCGGAAGATGACCGCAGCAGCGGCGCGCTGTGGCAATTCAAGTTGTCCTCAAACATTTGTGCTTTGTAATGGGATAACGTGCTCTCACTGTAAAATCACAGTGAGAAGCATGCAGCTCTAGTGGCTGTCAATGAGACAGCCACTAGAGGATAGGGAAGTTAACCCTTATTCATAAACATAGCAGTTTCTCTGAAACTGCTATGTTTATGAAAAAATGGGTTAACCCTAGCTGGACCTGGCACCCAGACCACTTCATTAAGCTGAAGTGGTCTGGGTGCCTAGAGTGGTCCTTTAAGCTTGGATTAATTTGAGAAAGAGTCTTTGCATTATTAGAGGTAATTATTCAAGTGGTAGCTTAATCTATTTCTAGTCTTTATTTTTGGGTGGTATACCAGAGCCATTGGGACAGTGTTGCAGATAGCCGCTGAGCCAGACACAATAAAGCTCTGAGTGGATACCTGAGACTCAAAATATGCTGGTAATTTATATACCACCTAAGTACGATGGAACATTTTTGTATTTACTTATATTTTTAACTCACACCTTACTGGGTAATCTCAATTTTTGAATTTAATGTATATAGTATATTTTTGCTAGACCACTGTATATTTCCAGGTAACACAGCTAGTCACATTTGTCTTTTGACGTTGTGATTAGCCTTTTCTGTTTTTCTTCTCTTTTTCATTAGTATCTTTGGGGTTACGCCCCTTGAGATCCCTGGAGTCTCTTTTTGGTAGTTCAATTGGTTTTTCACTGCCGGAGCGCCAATACTAGTGGTTGACGCCCAGCTGAGATTAACCAATATAAAATACAATAAACAATACCATAAACTTTGAAAGAAATTGGGGCTAAAATAGCTTTATAATAAAGCTCAAAATATACGGTATGACATACTCCGTGTTGTCTACTTTCACAAGGGGTATGCATTTATGGGGTCATTTCAGCTATCAAACTGCTGTGATGCCCCAAAAATGCAGAATAGATAAATCAAATTAATCAATCAAAATTCTAACTGTAAAAACGTAATTAGTCAGGTCTCTTATATGGCACTGTAACTTTGCAAGATAGTACCAAAGGTATATTATATTGTGGGTGTAGTTTTATTCTAAAGAGCTTGCTGAGCATAACTTGGGAGGGGAAGGCTTGATCACAGTGACAAATCTCTGATTTGAAAAATGCCGGGTTAAGAGGGGTTGGGACTTGGCTGCCATGCTGTGAAGAAGCACAGTGCCAGGGGAGGGCTGGCATCCTCAGACCTGGGGGGCAAATCCAGTCAAGTGGCCCCTTGCACCCCCGAACCAGCTCACCATCCATGCCCACCTTTTCCTGTTTTTATAACAGATATTGATGTTATGCTAATCAGTAGCTCTTTGCCATACCCACTCCTTTGTGGCTCCTACTTTCAATGTTGTTAGAGAGCAGACTGAGAATCTCTGAGCCTGTGCTCTGACTCACTAACTAACCACAAGGGAGAGGATATGATCTAAGGCACCTACTGCTGGTGTGCACCAGTAGACCACTAGGGAATCATTTAAATTAAAGGGACACTCCAGTGCCAGGAAAACAAATTATTTTCCTGGCACATCATGTTCCCTCTCCCTCCCACCCCCCCATCAAATGTTGCTGAAGGGGTTAGAACCCCTTCAGTGACATACCTGAGACCTCTGCCCACGCTCCTCCTCCATTGACGACATCCGGCGGGGTAGACCGATTGCGCATGCGCGGTCGGCGGCGGGGGAGACCTCTCCATAGGCGGGGGAGATCTCCCCATAGGAAAGCATTGAAAATGCTTTCAATGCTTTCCTATGGGGGTTTTAGCGACACTGGAGGTCCTCACATAGCGTGAGGACGTCCAGCGACGCTATAGCACAGAAAACCAGTGCTATAAACCAGGAAGTGCCCTCTAGTAGCTGTCTAGTAGACAGCCACTAGAGGAGGAGTTAACCCTGCAATGTAATTATTGCAGTTTATGAAAACTGCAATATTTACAGTTGAAGGGTTAAGGGTAGTGGGAGTTGGCACCCAGACCACTCCAATGGGCAGAAGTGGTCTGGGTGCCTGGAGTGTCCCTTTAATGTGCTGGTGTCCCAAACTTGTGAGCTGTGTTGGCCACTGGGCGCCTCTGTTGTCATGGCACTCTACGTGACCCCACAGCTTGCACACCTCAAAGGCTGGCTCTGCTGACAGACACACTGGCACTCACTCTCAATAGCACACACACAAACCCTGGCAAACACTCACTGACAGGCAGACACAGACACACACACAAACCCTGACAGACAAACACTCACTGACAGGCAGACACAGACACATACACACACACACACACACACACACACACACAAACCCTGACAGACAAACACTCACTGAATAAATAGAAAAAAAAACCTACATTTTACTCTTATTTTTAGCAGACATGGGCAGTTGAATGCCTACATAATAAGTTTCAAAATACCCTTAGATAAATAGCCTATGATGTCTACTTTATACAAATATATACTTTTGTATGGCAATTGTGTTTTCTGTGATGCTATTAACCCCTTAAAGGGATTCTATAGTACCTAAAAAAAAGTCATTTTCCTGGCACTATAGGTTCCTACAGCACTATAGGTTCCTACAATGCCCTTCCGCTGCGCTGAAGTGATTTAATTCCCTTCAGTCACTTACCTGAATCCAGCACCGATGTCCCTTGGCCCTGGGTCAGGCTCCGCCAATGCTCCTCCCCTGTCAACGTCAGCCTAGCGTCATTTAGGGTGGCCAAAACTCATCTAAGCACCCGGAAGTCCTTCTAGTGGCTGTCTGGAAGACAGTCGCTAGAGGAGGAGTTAGCCCTCGTAGGTAATTATTGCAATTTAAAGATGGGACATTGCACCCAGACCACTTCAATGAGCTAAAGTGGTCTGGGTGCCTAGAGTGTCCCATTAGCTCAACCTAGAGTGTCCCTTTAGCAACTTTAGCTCAATGCAGTTGTTCTGGTGACTATAGTAAGTCCCTGCAGGCATTTTGCTATAAACACTGTATTTTAGTGTTTACATTACAGTTTAGGGACACTTCCACTGGCCATTCCTCAGCTCGCCACTAGAGGTTCTTCCTGAGTCAGTGCTGCACACTGTTCAACGTCTCCACACTCTGCATGGAGACACTGAACTTTCCCCATGGAGATGCTGATTGTCCAGGGCGGCATTTGGTCGGGCTCCCAGCCCACCACCTTGGCTGAGATCATCAGAATAAACCATCTCAGCTGATGCTGTAAATTGTGCAAAATAAAATCACTTTTACTACATCTGCCTGCTTATTTCTCCTCTCCCTGATCTGCTGTGTATTAATTTTATCATTGGACAGATAGTGAAGCTGCACAGTGTTCCCCCACCCCTTCCCTCCTCTCTCCCCTTCTCCTCCCTCTCAGCACAGTCCTGGCTGCGTCAGGCTGGGAGTTAGTTACAGTATCAGTTATTAATACTCAGTTACAATATGAAGGATCCCCTCCTCCTGGTGCTCATTGCTGGGGCCACTGGGGTCTATTGCAGTGAGTATAGCCTGAATGATATATAGACTGTGTGATCTATAGACTGAATGATATATAGACTGTATGATATATAGACTGAATAATATATAGACCGAATCATATATAGACTGTATGCTTGATCTATAAACTGTGTGAACAGAGTGAAAACTCAGGATTTCCTGACTTACAGGGTCGCACTCACTCTGACATGTGTCTGTCTCAGGTCTCTCTCTGACATGTGTCTGTCTGTCTCAGGTCTCTCTCTGACATGTGTCTGTCTGTCTCAGGTCACTCTCTCTCTGACATGTGTCTGTCTATCTGTCTCAGGTCTCTCTCTCTGACATGTGTCTGTCTGTCTCAGGTCTCTCTCTGACATGTGTCTGTCTGTCTCAGGTCTCTCTCACTCTGACATGTGTCTGTCTGTCTCAGGTCTCTCTCTCTCTGACATGTGTCTGTCTGTCTCAGGTCTCTCTCACTCTGACATGTGTCTGTCTGTCTCAGGTCTCTCTCTCTCACTGACATGTGGTTGTCTGTCTCAGGTCACTTTCTCTCACATGTGTCTGTCTGTCTCAGGTCACTCTCTCTCTCTCTGACATGTGTCTGTCTGTCTCAGATCACTCTCTCTCTGACATGTGTCTCAGGTCTCTCTCTCTTTCTCTCTGACATGTGTCTGTCTGTCTCAGGTCTCTCTCTGACATGTGTCTGTCTGTCTCAGGTCTCTCTCTCTCTCTGACATGTGTCTGTCTGTCTCAGGTCACTCTCTGTCTCTGACATGTGTCTATCTGTCTCAGGTCACTCTCTCTCTCTCTCTGATGTGTCTGTCTGTCTCAGGTCACTCTCTCTCTGACATGTGTCTGTCTCAGGTCTCTCTTTCTGACATGTGTCTGTCTGTCTGTCTGTCTCAGATCACTCTCTCTCTCTCTCTGACATGTGTCTCTCTGTCTGTCTCAGGTCTCTCTCTGACATGTGTCTGTCTGTCTCAGGTCACTGTCAGGGTCTTACCTGAGTTGGGAGTCTGTAGCGCAGATATGATGCTCACCCTTGCAGATAGCCACAGGCCGAGGTGGTCAGGTAAGAATTCACCTGGCCTGTGGGTCTGTGCACGGGGGCTGTGCAGGATGCAGTACCAATACGCAGGACAGGCAAGGACTGAACCAGCAGGATGGTCGAGGGATAGCCGAGGTCAAAGGATGCCAGAGGACAGGAACAACGAGGAGTAGCCGAAGTCAAGGGATGCCAGAAGTCAGAATAAACGAGTCAGGAAGCCGGGGTCAATAATGCGAAGCGATGAAACAGAAACACTGGAACAAACAGGATCAAGGACTTGACACTGAGCACAGGGCGAGGCTGGGTTTATATACCCTGCTGATGACTGATCAGAGTCAGGTGAAACACAGCCAAGTCAAGGTGCAGCCCCCAGAGTAGTAGCCATGTCAGGATGAACAGGACTGGAATCAGTCTTCACTGTAAATAGCTGCTGTGGCTCAGAGGTAGAAAGCAGGACCAGGACTGAGAAGATCCCCGGTTCAAGTCCCCTGTTGGGAACTCCAAGAGCGACCACGTCTTGCCGTCTGTCTATCAGGTGAGAACCGTGACAGTACCCCCCCCTTTAAAAACGACCTCCGGGCGTGAATGGGTTCATTGTCAGCATAGTACACCTCTCCAGGGTCACTATCTGAATCCAGTGAGTCCCCATAGTCAAACTCCCCAGCAAGGATTCCCTTTACAGCTTGGGAGTCCGCAGTACCAGCTTCTGGTACGGCTGGAGAATTGTCCAGGTCTTTTAGGTTCCGGGTACAGGTGGCAAGCACTTCCAAAACTTTGGCAGGAGCAGTGTTCGCAGCTAACAATGCTTTTTCGAACATATCAAGGTCTTCTTTACGGACTATAGTGCCATTAGAAGCAACGGCACAATCCACAGGTAAAACCTCTTCGGGCGGGCAGGAAGTAGTGGTGGTATCACAGGAAGCAACTTCGGGAGTAGATGCAGGAGGCTCTGGAGCAGGGGATGGAGGTTTTCTCGCGGAAGCCAAGCATGTGCAAGCACAACGGCTTCTATTTGGCTTTTTAGGCTGGTATGCGGTGTACACAGGGCGAAGGAAACTAGTACCAAGTCGGAGAGCTGGAGGTCTAGGAGGGCGAACAGGACAAAGCGTGATGAAGTGCCCTTTTTCTCCACAGTAATAACATAGGCCATAGCTTCTCCTTCGGTCTTTTTCCTTAGGTGTCACTTTGCAGTGGACGAGTCCTAATTGCATAGGTTCCACAGGGTCAAGTGGAACACCGGATACCTCTGGAGTTTTCCTGGGAGCTGGAACATAAGGAGGCATTTCTGGGGCGTAGTGGTGGTACTCGGTTTCTTGGTTAGGAAGAGTCTGAGATTTTTTAGTACGTGGAGCTGACTTGGCCACAGTGGTCTTACATTGTGAGTCCATAGCAGTACTAAAGGATTCCCAGCTGACCAGGACAGGACTCTTCGTCTGCAACATTTGGTGAGCCCAAACTTTGATGCGTCCAGACAACAGGTTGATAGCCGCTCGGACCTTGATAAAATCTGTGGCATATGTTCGAGGCTTTAAAGAAAACAACACCTCACAATCCATCTTGAAAGACTGAAAGGATGTGCGGCTACCATCAAATCGGTCGGGCATGATGACAAACGGTTCAGGAAAAGCTGGTTCCGGGGCTGGATGTACTGCGCCTTTAAGGAATAAAATTTCTTGCTGCAGCTCCGAAACAGTCTGGGCCAGGCTGGACACACGCTGGGTCGAGGGTGAGCACATCTCTGCGGACTCCATAATGGTCAAGTCCTTATGTCAGGGTCTTACCTGAGTTGGGAGTCTGTAGCGCAGATATGATGCTCACCCTTGCAGATAGCCACAGGCCGAGGTGGTCAGGTAAGAATTCACCTGGCCTGTGGGTCTGTGCACGGGGGCTGTGCAGGATGCAGTACCAATACGCAGGACAGGCAAGGACTGAACCAGCAGGATGGTCGAGGGATAGCCGAGGTCAAAGGATGCCAGAGGACAGGAACAACGAGGAGTAGCCGAAGTCAAGGGATGCCAGAAGTCAGAATAAACGAGTCAGGAAGCCGGGGTCAATAATGCGAAGCGATGAAACAGAAACACTGGAACAAACAGGATCAAGGACTTGACACTGAGCACAGGGCGAGGCTGGGTTTATATACCCTGCTGATGACTGATCAGAGTCAGGTGAAACACAGCCAAGTCAAGGTGCAGCCCCCAGAGTAGTAGCCATGTCAGGATGAACAGGACTGGAATCAGTCTTCACTGTAAATAGCTGCTGTGGCTCAGAGGTAGAAAGCAGGACCAGGACTGAGAAGATCCCCGGTTCAAGTCCCCTGTTGGGAACTCCAAGAGCGACCACGTCTTGCCGTCTGTCTATCAGGTGAGAACCGTGACAGTCACTCTCTCTCTGACATGTGTCTGTCTGTCTCAGGTCCCTCTCTCTCTCTGACATGTGTCTGTCTGTCTCAGGTCTCTCTATCTCTGACATGTGTCTGTCTGTCTCAGGTTCCTCTCTCTCTCTGACGTGTCTGTCTGTCTCAGGTCTCTCTCTCTCTGACATGTGTCTGTCTGTCTCAGGTCTCTCTCTCTCTCTGACATGTATCTGTCTGCCTCAGGTCACTCTCTCTCTGACATGTGTCTGTCTGTCTCAGGTTCCTCTCTCTCTCTGACACGTGTCTGTCTGTCTCAGGTCTCTCTCTCTGACATGTGTCTGTCTGTCTCAGGTCTCTCTCTCTCTCTGACATGTATCTGTCTGCCTCAGGCCACTCTCTCTCTCTGACATGTGGTTGTCTGTCTCAGGTCACTTTCTATGACATGTGTCTGTCTGTTTACCTGTCTGTCTCAGGTCACTCTCTCCAGTTCTATGGCACAGCTGTATCCGTTTCCGGACTTGGGCTGCCAGACTATACATTGGTGGGTTTTGTGAATGTGATACAGATTATAAAATACAACAGTGACATCGGCCGGGCCGTTCCCGTGGCTCCGTGGGTAAAGAAATTGGAAACTGAATACTGGGTGATAATTACACAGATCGGCAAAGAGGGGGAAGCTGTATTCAAACGGGAATTTAAGACGTATTTGCCTTTCTACAATCTGACAGGTGAGATACACACACATATACACACTGACACACAAAGTATATACACTGTATACACACACTGACACACACCGTATATACACACTGACACACACTGAAACACACAGTATATACACACACAGTATATACACACTGACACACACAGTATATACACACAATGTATATACAAACACTGGATATACACACTGACATACAGTATATACACACTGACACTCAATGTATATACAAGCACTGTATATACACACTGACACACACCGTATATACACACTGACACACAAAGTATATACACACAGTATATACACACTGACACACACTGTATATACACACTGACACACACCGCATATACACACTGACACACACAGTATATACACACTGACACACAAAGTATATATACACACAGTATATACACAGTATATACACACTGACACACACTGTATATACACACTGAAACACACATTATATACACACACACACAGTATATACACACTGACACACACAGTATATACACACACAATGTATATACAAACACTGGATATACACACTGACATACAGTATATACACACTGACACTCAATGTATATACAAGCACTGTACATACACACTGACACACACTGTATACACACTGACACACAATGTATACACACTGACACACTGTATATGCACTATACATATGGATAATGGTTATGTTTTTTAGACTTCACCCCTGCTATTGACTCTGCTCTTCTCTCTGTAAGCCCCACCCCCTCATGTGAAATGTCAGAATAACAAAAACATTTTCCTTTTGCTTAATAATTTGAGTGGATCATTTAACCAATCAATTTGTGCCCAAAGGACCAGAGCATGTATAGTATTTCCTTGCAGGCTTTTTAATGTAAACACTGCCTTTTCAGAGAAAAGGCAATGTTTACATGAGCGGTGTACCCAGAGCTTTTGCCACCTGGACCACAACTCCAGCTGCCCCTCTATGTGTCTCATTCCCCCACCCCCTGCAGGCCCTGATGTGTCTCCATCTTCCCCACTGCCCCTGTGCCTGCTTACCTCCAGCATGGCGTGGCCTGGCAGACCATGGTGGAGTATCTTCTGTATCCTCTATCTGAGCTGATCTGTAAACATTTCCTGTCAGCCCGGGTAGAGGATACAGAAGATCCTCTACCTGTGATCTGCTCAACCACGCTACATGCAGGGACCGGAATGAGGGGGAGCGCTATGCATTCTCCTCCTGCCAGTAACCCAGCGATTGCAACTGAAATTTCCAGTTATCTCAGTGGGCCAGTCCGTGGGGTGGCGGCGGCACTTTTTTTTCACATGAAAAGTGCCGTCGCCACCTCCAAAAAATTATTCTCCACCTTACTATGCCTCTGGTTTACATTACTGCTAAGGAACACCTCTAGAGGCAGTCACTCAGATGGCCACTAGAGGTGCTTCCTGGGTCAGTGCTGCACATTTGAACTCCATTTGAAAAAGCCATACAGGTGAAAACGCGTTAATGGATGTTACTACTTTGCATTTTAACTATTAAAGGATTTTGGTCACTACACTTGTGTGCTGTGCCAATTACCTTTTTTTTTATTTATTTTTAATACTGTTTTCATACTTGTTGGCATCTTTTATCTCTACTCCAAAGCAATCCTAGGTGGGGATCAAACCACCAACACTCTCATCATAGAGCAGTTAGTCTGCTCTATATTTGTGAGTATATTTTAACTATTTTTATCATATACATCACTTGTTTTATTTAGAGCACTATCTGTCACCTTATCTATTTCTCCCTAGGATTCTGTTATCGTGAACCAAACCAATATATCCTATAAGTGGGCATTATACCACTGCAGATTTACAAACAGAATATAGGAGGCGCTCAAGAATGTAAGATAAGGTGCAGCTGATTCACCCAAGTATATTAGTCACTCAATATACTTAAAAGTGCAGAACAGTGTAAATCAAAACAAGGTGATAAGCGCACACACATAGAAAGGATAAGTTACCTCCCATATAGTCTTTTCTTAACTGAGATATATATATATATATCCTAAATAAAAACAGAAATAGGACACAACATAGCGTAATCTGTCAGGATAAATCATAAGTAAGATTTAGAATTCAGAAAACTCACAATTTTCTGAGCCCATCAAAGTTGGCTCTGGACTTATGAAGCATATAAACAAATTCCTCTAGCAGTTGTGGTCCCAGAAGATGCTGAATAGCTGGAAGTAGGAACTCTAAAAGAAGTAGATGTATAAAGAGGATTTATTGCATACATAAAACATAAAATAAGTGCACAACGCATTTCAACCCTGTACTTGGGTCTTTATTAAACAGACTGAGGAAGCTCTTCAGGAGTGAAACACGTTTTGTCATATTGAGAACTCTCTTATTTTATTTTATTTTATATTATTTTAAATACGTTATATGCTTATATTGTATTAATAAATTACAAATTTTAAGTCCCCAGGAGCCTATAGAATCTTCATAGGGGTAGTGCCATCCCCATAAATATTGGCACAAAGCTAATATACCTCAGAGCCAGGATCGGAGGGCTCTAGAAAAGGTGAGCATTTTTCTTATTCCACCCTCCACACCATTTTAAAACAGACTGCACATTGTTTCCCTTCTCTCCATGTTTTGTCTTGGATTGAAGGTGTGATGCTGTCATAAAAGCATAAAGGCTTGTTTACTGAGCCAGTTTTTATACACAGGCTCCATCAAATGTGAGTGCACTAAACTTCACCACTAAATTAATCTGATTTTATTTCACATACCGTCTGCACTATATTGTATTTTTTATTTCTTTTACATGTACTACTAATCAAGTTTATTATCAAGTCACGTGGGGTAAATTTACCCCCTCCCCCCACATACTTCTCTTCAGCGCACCACTTACAGGTGTAGGTTTCATACTTATACCATCTTATAAACTTTAATACTGCCATAACACTGCAAATAAACATAGAGAACAGCTATACTTTTTTTGTTACCATGCTTAATGCTTAGTAATAGCTTGCAATCACACAATCCGATAAACATACTGCTGAGAACTTCACTCCTTCTAATTAAGGGTAAAAAGAGGGATTATCCCATAAACTGGGGGAAAAGAAGAATTTCTGATAGTGATACTTTATAAACAGATATTACAGTAGATCTTTACAGTGAAATAATACTGCAAACCAATATACAGAACAACTTTATTTATTTTACTGTGATTACCATTTAGTTAGTAGTCTGTAATTATAACATCTGAACCTTTAAAGGACTAAGTATGATATGTTAAAAGTGCTGCAGAGGAGGAAGGAAAACAGAGACAAGAAAAAAAACAAGGAAACTATATAAAACAACTTAAAACTCCACCCTCCTTATTAAAAAGAAAAGAAATACGTTTATACCCTAAATTAGGAAAAAAGAAGAGAGAAAAATAAATATATAAGAACTGCATTGTGGTTTATGGACTTGTATTGGACCATGCTGGCCCTTTAAGAACCATCTGGGGATATATTGAGACTTTGTGTGACAATGCCCCTTTAAGACTATGTCCCCAGACCTTTCAAATACTTAAAAAAAAATTATTAAATACAAATTTAATAAAATATCCAGGAGTTGTTTATAGCTGTGGACTAATGATTTTGCAATTAAGTTTGCCAAAAAAAAACAAAACAAAACTATTCAATAAAATAGAGCAATAACATCCAATGTTTTCTTTCTCTAAGAAGGAAACTTAGATTAGTAAAATCCAATGTATAACAGTCTTTTGATTAAAATTGAATAAAATAAAATAAAAAATAAATAATCGTCTTTTTAAGATCCTATGTATGTAAGCTAATTCAGTTCACTCCAGTTATAGATGAACTGGTATCTAGATACTGAATTAGTTATTTTGTATAGTACAATATAACGATATACATGGTCCTTATAATTGAAATATTGTATCTTGTACCACACGAATACACATAAAATAACTGACAGGCTATATTAAGTGGCTTTCAGTTGTAGTAACACTTTACTACTAGTGATAGGAAATAAAGTATAAAATCCAAGTGCTGAATGAAAATATTTATTGTAGAATAAGCTTTTTAAAAAGGGTAAAATGAAATATATGCTGGATTTGAAGCAGGAGGATGAAATGAGCAGCTGAAGAAAGTGAATGGACTGTACGATCGTCACTTAAATGAATGGATCGGTGATATTCTATTCTGCGTTTCACCCGGTTTCCCTTCTGCGTTCCAGATAGAAGTCGGCAGTATTTCGGTAGATGCCGGAAAGCAATGCAGTGTAGTTCTGAATGTCGTCCTAACGCATTTCATGAGACTTCTCTCACTTCATCAGAGGATGCTAGGACAGTCTTATGGGTTTAAATAGCCAGCGAATTAACTGGCTTATGTTAACTCTTTGTGGTTCAATTCATAGCACTGGATTCAGTAATGTAAACCATACATAATGAAGAATAATAATAAAATTTAAACATACAATTAATGAATTATAATACATATTGGACCTATACATATTATTTCATATAAAAATAAAATAAAAATAAACAGTAATTCATGAATTCAAAAATGTACAAATATTAAAAAATGTACAAATATTAATGAATAGTTAAAAGGTAATGTTATTAGAATTTTAAAATATATTTAATATCATTTTAATAATAAAATGAATGATTGCAAAATCAGACAATATATTGTACATTTGATGCTTAATAAAAACATTATTATAAAACTCTTATTGTAAAACACATAATAAAAACATATTAATTAGCAATACAAATATTCAGAGTTCAGAATAAAGATTTAATAATGTAGTAAGAAGATGTCAATATAAAACTTCGCTCAGGCATGATATAAATCGTTGTGCTGGAAGAGAGGGAAAAGAAAAAAAAAAAGTAGATTTCTATGAAAAAGCTCTTAATTCAAAATCTACATTCAGACCTTTAGGTTCTAACGTATCTAGCTGAAATATCCATTTGGCCTCTGCTTTATCTAATTCTTTTTCTAGATCCCCTCCTCTCCATGGAATATTTACTTTTTGGATTGCCATAAAACTAAGTCCCTTGGGATCCCTTGCATGTATAAGATTAAAATGTCTCGAAAGGTTATGTGAATGAAGTCCATTTTTAATATTCCTAATATGTTCTCCCATTCGTGTTTTAAAAGCTCTTTTGGTACGTCCTATATATATTTTATTACAAGGACATTTTAATAAATAAATTACACCAGTGGTGTTACAATTTAGGTGTGATTTTATTTTAAAAATTTCATTTGTTTGTGGATGGGTGAATTCCGTAATATTTTTTTTTTTTGTAAATAAAGTTTTTATTAGCAGTTCAGACAATAACAGATGGCAGAGCTTATATCGTCAGTGAGACTCGCAGGTCTCCAATTGCGTCTGACATGAGTACCACCAGTTTTAGATGAATCTTTATAGAGCGCTATCGGAAGCGGATGACTGCTGGCCCACATCAGTGAGGGCAGTACAATTCTATAGCTGAACCTCAATCAAATGGTGAGTAGTGCGGTAGGTCCCAGGTCACGTCCTCTTACATGGGGAGTGAGAAAGGGGTCGTTTTGCGGGATCGGGTCCTATAGTCGTGCACCTGGTCTGGGACTCCCTTTCCTGTTGTCTTTCCCTTAACTTCGGTGGTGCCTAGGTATGTTGCGGGTTTTCTCCTGGGTCAGCTACCCTCTCGTTCTGAGTCCGCATCCGAATTCCGTAATATTTAAAGATTGGTTTGGATTGTTTATACATGCTTGACATTTCTTGCATTTCCAAAAACCTGTTATTGTTTTAAAAGTGGTACTTTTATTTTCCCTTGGTTTTTCCTGTTTTGTTGTGGGTGCTAGTAATAGGCCTAAATTAGGAGCTTTAGAATGTACTATTCGAGGTTTATTACCTAATATTCGTTCTAATTGAGGGTCTCCTTTTAAAATATTCCAATTTTTTTGTAGAATATTTCTAATTTGATGAGTTTGGCTGTTATACCTTGTTATAAAAGTAGGAGCTTCCAGATTAGATAGGTCTTTATGTGGCTTAGTTTCTAGAATTTGATTTCTGGATAAGAGGGAAGTCTTAGTTTAAGCTTGGTTTAAAATTTTGTTTGAGTAGCCTTTTGCTTTAAATTGTGCTGTCATCATTTTGGTTTGTTCAGCACAAATGTTTGGTTCAGAACAATTTCTTTTTATTCTCCTAAACTGGCTAAATGGAATATTATTTAGCCATGTTTTTTTATGAAAGCTGTTGTGAGGAATGAAACTATTACATGCCACTGATTTTTTAAAGGTTTTAGTTTCCAGTTTATTATTTTAAATATAAATTTCGAGATCTAGGAACTCAAGTTTTTCTGTAGACTGATTAAAAGTAAATTTTAAATTGTAAGGGTTAAAATTTAAATATTGTTTAAAATTTTCTAACATTATGATATCTCCCTTCCAAATAAAAATGCAATCATCTATATAGCGATGCCATGAGACCAGATTTGCGCCACATGGGTTGTTGGACCAAATATGCTCATCTTCCCATTTACCCATGAACAGATTGGCGTAACTTGGTGCAAATCTGGTTCCCATGGCATTGCCCTCAATCTGGAGGTAATAGTGATTGTTAGCCCAAAAAAAGTTGTGGCTAAGGATAAAAGCTACACATTTCACAATGTATTCAATTTGATCATTTTTAAGTTCTGAAATATTTGTTCTGAATATTTGTATTGCTAATTAATATGTTTTTATTATGTGTTTTACAATATGAGTTTTATAATAATGTTTTTATTAAGCATCAAATGTACAATATATTGTCTGATTTTGCAATCATTAATTTTATTATTAAAATGATATTAAATATATTTTAAAATTCTAATAACATTACCTTTTAACTATTCATTAATATTTGTACAATTTATAATATTTGTACTTTTTTTATATTTGTACATTTTTGAATTCATGAATTACTGTTTATTTTTATTTTATTTTTACATGAAAAAATATGTATAGGTCCAATATGTATTATAATTCATTAATTGTATGTTTAAATTTTATTATTATTCTTCATTATGTATGGTTTACATTACTGAATCCAGTGCTATGAATTGAACCACAAAGAGTTAACATAAGCCAGTTAATTCGCTGGCTTTTTAAACCCATAAGACTGTCCTAGCAACCTCTGATGAAGTGAGAGAAGTCTCACGAAACGCGTTAGGACAACATTCAGAACGACACTGCATTGCTTTCCGGCATCTACCGAAATACTGCCGACTTCTATCTGGAACGCAGAAGAGAAACCAGGTGAAACGCACGCGGCTAGAATATTACCGATCCATTCATCTAAGTGACGATCGTACAGTCCATTCACTTTCTTCAGCTGCTCATTTCATCCTCCTGCTTCAAATCCAGCATGTATTTCGTTTTACCCTGTTTTTAAAAGCTTATTCAACAATAAATATTTTCATTCAGCACTTGGATTTTATACTTTATTTCCTATCACTAGGAGTAAAGTGTTACCACAACTGAAAGCCACTTAATATAGCTTGTCAGTTATTTTATGTGTATTCATGTGGTACAAGATACAATATTTCAATTATAAGGACCACGTATATTGTTATATTGTACTATACAAAATAACTAATTCAGTATCTAGATACCAGTTCATCTATAACTGGAGTGAACTGAATTAGCTTACATACATAGGATCTTAAAAAGACAAATTTATTTTTTATTTTATTCAATTTTAATCAAAAGACTGTTATACATTGGATTTTACTAATCTAAGTTTCCTTCTTAGAGAAAGCAAACATTGGATGTTATTGCTCTATTTTATTGAATAGTTTTGTTTTGGGTTTTTTTTGGCAAACTTCATTGCAAAATCATTAGTCCACAGCTATAAACAACTCCTGGATATTTTATTAAATTTTTATTTAATAAAATTTTTTTAATGTTTGCATTATCAGAGATCTGTTAGTGGAGTCTCTATTTTTTCCAGTTGAGCAGTTTTTTTTAGCTTTGCCACAACTTATTCTCTAGATAGAGGTTTCTTTTTTTGGAATCTCAACTATTTAACCCTTTCAAATACTTTGTCTATGGCTTTCTCCCAGTTGGTTTAGTAAATGGAGCTTACTGAACCAGGTAACACTCAGAATGGTTGTCGTTCGTCTGTTTGAACTGACTTTAACATGGGAAATAGACCAACCGCACAGCCTGATTCTCTGGAACTGTTTTGGGCATGAAAATGTGCTTGCGGTCAGTCATAAAGGACTCCCAGCTAACGTTTTATCTACTGGGGGGATTTGTATGATTTTTGGGTATGTTTATATTTAAAGTATGCTGATTCTGAATATGTATGTTTTATGTAAAGTTACAGTATATGTGTAAAAAGTGTATTTTTCCTGCCTGTGATAAATTACATTAACCCATTGTGTTCAGTAATTATATCACAGGCAGAGGGGAGGGATTGAATGTTGGGGCTGGGTGTGTTTTATGGTTTTCCTGTAAATGATTGGTTGTACTGTGTCCCACCCTCTGGGATGTCCCCTTGCATGGGGACTTGCATAAAAGCCAGTGTGTGGTCATTAAAAGTCAGATCATCTTGTACCTTCATGAAGTTTCGGCTCATGTTTGGGGGATTGGAGAACTACACTCTGGGGATTGCTATAATCACTATACTCCCCAAGGTATAATCACTAAGCTCTGCTAAGAGCTTGTTCCTGTTCCTGCTCTCTGGAATTCGGAGAGAGGTCGACCTACTGGAAGCTGGACCCTGGTCTTGAGTCCAGAGTGGGTGGAGACGGCGAGACCCCAACCAAGCTGCGGCGGTTCGTGGGGTCTGCAGTGGTTATGGTGTCGGGCAGAGTGCTTGGAGTCCTCGGAAAGCACTAGGAGCATCCGTCAGCGGAAGGTACCCGGTCGGGGTGCCAGCGGTTCCGTTACAGCCTCAATCACGTGAATTGTATAATATCTAAAGAGTAAGAACAACAAAACTGGTGGTACAAAAGACAAAGAATCTGAAACTATATTAATGATTACCAGCAAGAAAGTCCCAGTTTTCTTTTTTCTGACAACCCAGCGAAGACTCTCAGAAATTTCACTAACCACTTCTGACATAGGTGAAGCGAAAGTCTATGATACAGTCTGCAGTCCTCATTGGAGAATAAAGTTAAAACTCTAGAAGAAAGAATAGATGTAACAACTCAAATGGAAACAAAAACTGACGACTTTACCAGATGAAAAATGGATCACTCTAGAACAAAGGACAACAGACATAGAAACAGAACAAAAAGACAAAACCTTCCAATAACGAACATCTCAGAAACGGTAACTTATGACAAACTAGAAAATTTCAAAGCTAAGTTAAGCTAGATAAGAAAGAAACAATTATTGAACGTTGTCATAGAATACACATAGACAGAAATCAATCTCAGAATGAATACCAAGAGATGTTATAGTCCTTTTTCAGTCATATAAAACAAGAGTCTGTTTTGAGAGCATCACGATTCTGTAGCACAGTTGGAGAGAAATTCTCTAAGATTTTGATATTTCTAGATCTGTCGTTCCAGATAAGACAAATCAGAAATTCATATGCACAAATAACAAAAGAATTAAGAGAAATAAATATACAGTATAAATGGGGACACCCAGTGAGCTTGATAATTCAAGAAAAGGATATGACACACCTTTAAATCTCCAGGAAAGGTCAAAGAATGGCTATCAAGTAAAAGTCGTTAAAGGAAGAGAGATGGAAAAGGGACAGAGGGATGAGAAAGAAAAGAGAAGACAACATTCTGTATATAATACAAAAGTGAGTACACCCCTCATATTTTTGTAAATATTTTATTATATCTTTTCATGTGACAACATTGAAGAAATGACACTCTGCTACAATGTAAAGTAGTAAATGTACAGCCTGTATAACAGTGTGAATTTGCTGTCCTCTCAAAATAACTCCATACACAGCCATTAATGTCTAAACCGTTGGCAACAAAAGTGAGTACACCCCTAAGTGGAAATGTCCAAATTGTGTCCAAAGTGTCAATATTTTGTGTGGCCACCATTATTTTCCAGCACTGCCTTAACCCTCATGGGCATGGAGTTCACCAGAACTTCACAGGTTGCCACTGGAATCCTCTTCCACTCCTCTATGATGACATCACGGAGCTGGTGGATGTTAGAGACCTTGTGCCCCACCTTCAATTGGAGGATGTCCCACAGAAGCTCAATAGGGTTTAGGTCTGGAGACATGCTTGGCCAGTCCATCACCATTACCTTCAGCTTCTTCAGCAAGGCAGTGGTCGTCTTGGAGGTGTGTTTGGGGTTATTATGTTGGAATACTGCCCTGCGGCCCAGTCTGCGAAGGGAGGGGATCATGCTCTGCTTAAGTATGTCACAGTACATGTTGGCATTCATGGTTCCCTCAATAAACTGTAGCTGCCCAGTGCCAGCAGCACTCATGCAGGCCCAGACCATGACACTCCCAAGACCATGCTTGACTGTAGGAAAGACACACTTGTCTTTGTACTCCTCACCTGGTTGCCGCCACACAAGCTTGACACCATCTGAACCAAATAAGTTTATCTTGGTCTCATCGGACATCAGGACATGGTTCCAGTAATCCATGTCCTTAGACTGCTTGTCTTCAGCAATCTAATTGCGGCTTTCTTGTGCTACATCTGTAGAAGATGCTTCCTTTTGGGATGACACCCATGCAGACCAATTTGATGTCACTCTTACTCCCGGTATCACTTACACTCAGTGTCTGTCACTCTCACTCCCGGTATGCCTCACACTCAGTGTCTGTCACTCTCACTCCTGGTATCCCTCAAACTCACTGTCTGTCACTCTCACTCCCGGTATCACTCACACTCAGTGTCTGTCACTCTTACTCCCGGTATCCCTCACACTCAGTGTCTGTCACTCTCACTCCCGGTATCACTCACACTCAGTGTCTGTCACTCTCACTCCCGGTATCCCTCACACTCAGTATCTGTCACTCTCACTCCCGGTATCCCTCACACTCAGTGTCTGTCACTCTCACTCCCGGTATCCCTCACACTCAGTGTCTTTCACTCACACTCCCAGTATCCCTCACACTCAGTGTTTGTGCTGTTTGCAGGTTTTCACTCTATCCAGCAGATGACTGGCTGTGAGCTGAGGGATGATGGCAATATCACGGGATACAATAAGTTCGGTTTTGACGGGAAGGATTTCCTGGCTCTGGATATGAAGCACGGTGTTTATGATCCGCTCACAGACCAGGCTCAAATCATAGCACAGAAACTGAACAGCCCGGATGAGAGACAAGGGGAGAGAGACAAGAGGATCCTGGAGACTCTGTGCATCGAATGGCTGAAAAAATTATTACAGTACGGCAAGGAAGAACTGGATAGGAAAGGTGGGTGCTTGGTATGGGGGAGGGGCTACATGGGGTAGGTGGGGTGTGTATGAAGGAGGAGCTGCACAAGGGAGGTGTATGGGGGAGGAGTTTCACACAGACGGTGCAAGGTAAAGGGAGGAACTACACATTTCTGTGGTGTTTGTGTTTAGCTGCAATTTTCCTCTTACTCATTTACTGCACCCACACATATTATATACCGTTGTTCTCTTTCTAAAGATATAATAATTAATTAATAACCATAATTTTCATCATATCATATAATTTACTATAAAACAAATTATAAAATATGATGAACAAATTGAAAAAAAAAAACACACTTTTTCGAACTTTGACCCCCAAAATCTGTTACGCATCTACAACCGTCAAACAACACCCATGCTAAATAGTTTCTACATTTTGTCCTGAGTTTAGAAATACCCAATGTTAACATGTTATTAGCTTTTTTTTTTGGAAAGTTATAGGGCTATAAGTACAAGTAGCACTTTGCTATTTCAAAACCAATTTTCTTTTTTTAAATTAACGCAAGTTACATTGTAACACTGATATCTCTCAGGACTCCCTGAATAACCCTTCAAATGTGTATATTTTTTAAAAGAAGACAACCTAAGGTATTAATCTTGGGGTATTTTGACTCTTTTCATGCAACCATTTTACCCCATTTTACCACCAATCTATGCCAATTTATGCCAAATTTAAAAAATAAAATAAATTGGTGACTTATTTTGACACACATAGCAATTTAAGAAAACATGTATGGAGAACTTTAAGGGTTACTGCCAAAAAACACCAAAATATGTGTTCAGCAACATCTCCTGAGTACAGTGATACCACCCATCTATAGGTGTGTCGGGTTCTTTGGGGGATAAAAGACCTTATTTGGAGGGTGCGCATTCCAGTTTTCCAACTTGGAATTTTCACAGCTGGTCATCATGCACCCATGTCCTTGGGACATTTCTGAAGCCAGCCAATGTAATTTACCCGTATCAAACCATATATTTTTTTTAATGGTGGTATTTTAACACTTTCCATGCACTAATTCTACCACCAATCCTTGTCAAACGTTTGGGTCGTAATTGTTTTGTTTTTTTCTCTCACATTGTACTTTAGGCATGGATTCTCAGTTCCTGTTATGTGTAACTGCCAAAGAACACCCCAATATGTGTTCAGCAACATCTCCCGAGTACAACAGTGCCCCCAATGTACAGGTTTTATGGGTTTTTGCCAACTTACAGGGGTCAAATGTAGGGCTTTCCCCTTTTCCATGTTTGCACATCGAAATTTGCCAGACTGGTTTGCTGGGCCTATATTGCCTGTGAGACCATATAGCAGCCCAGGAGTGAAAATTAGCCCCATCATGGCATACCATTTGTAGAAGTGGACAACCCACGGTATTCAACATGGGGTACGTCCAGTCTTTTGTAGTAACGACCAAAGTTTGCGTTTTTATTTGTTTTTTGCATTTTTTACACAGAAACTGCACTTTTACTAGTGATTTCATCGTCGTGATATGTTTTACTGTTGTAAACTCTCAAATTCGTGTTCAGCGAAGTCGCCCGAGTATAATAATACAACCCATGTACAGGTTTTATGGTATTTTGGAAGTTACGGGGTCAATATAGGGCTTGCCCAATTCAGTTTGCCAGATTGGTTTGCTTGGTCTGTGTCGCCTTTTGAGACCATATGGTAGCCCAGAAATGTGAAATAACTCCATCATGGCATACCATTTTCAAATGTAGATAACCCAGGGTATTCAAAATGGGGTATTTCCAGTCTTTTGTAGTAGCCACTTAGGCACAAATGCTGGCCAAAGTTAGTGTTTTTATTTGTTTTTTTATAAAATAAAATTTTATTTTTACTTATATTATATATTATTATTATTATTTATATAGTGCCATCACATTCTGTAGCACTGTTATATATATATATATATATATATATATATATATACACACACACATAATAGGTGTGTATGTATATATATATATAACATACACAAGATCCAAAGCACTCACCTATCCACTAAACAGCAACTTCAATGTTGACACATTTTATTCGTTTTTTTTATAATCACCTAATCTAGGCAAAAATAATGGGGGTTTAGTTACATTATATGATCATACATTGCATAAGTCTGCCACAACGTATCTACAGTCAGGTCCATAAATATTGGGACATCAACACAATTCTTATATTTTTGGCTCTATACACCACCACAATGGATTTGAAATGAAATGTGAACAAGATGTGCTTTAACTGCAGACTTTCAGCTTTAATTTGAGGATATTTACATCCAAATCAGGTGAACGGTGTAGGAATTACAACAGTTTGTATATGTGCCTCCCACTTTTCAAGGGACCAAAAGTAATGGGACAATTGGCTGCTCAGCTGTTCCATGGCCAGGTGTGTGTTATTCTCTCATTATCCCATTTACAAGGAGCAGATAAAAGGTCCAGAGTTCATTTCAAGTGTGCTATTTGCATTTGGAATCTGTTGCTGTCAACTCTCAATATGAGATCCAAAGAGCTGTCACTATCAGTGAAACAAGCCATCATTAGGCTGGAAAAAAAAAAAAAAACCATCAGAGAGATAGCAAAAACATTAGGTGTGGCCAAATCAACAGTTTGGAACAAAAAGAAGGAACGCACCGGTGAGCTCAGCAACACCAAAAGACCTGGAGGACCACCGAAAACAACTGTGGTGGATGACCGAAGAATTCTTTCCCTGGTGAAGAAAACACCCTTCACAACAGTTGGCCAGATAAAGAACACTCTCCAGGAGGTAGGTGTATGTGTGTCAAAGTCAACAATCAAGAGAAGACTTCACCAGAGTGAATACAAGGGTTCACCACAAGATGTAAACCTTTGCTGAGCCTCAAAAGCAGGAAGGCCAGATTAGAGTTTGCCAAACAACATCTAAAAAAGCCTTCACAGTTCAGGAACAACATCCTATGGACAGATGAGACCAAGATCAACTTGTACCAGAGTGATGGGAAGAGAAGAGTATGGAGAAGGAAAGGAACTGCCCATGCTCCAATGCATACCACCTCATCAGTGAAGCATGGTGGTGGTAGCGTCATGGCGTGGGCATGTATGTCTGCCAATTGAACTTGTTCTCTTGTATTTATTGATGATGTGACTGCTGACAAAAGCAGCAGGATGAATTCTGAAGTGTTTCGGGCAATATTATATTAGAGGCCTGGCAGAGCATCACCAGGGATGAAACCCAGCGTCTGGTGATGTCTATGCATTCCAGGCTTCAGGCTGTAATTGACTGCAAAGGATTTGCAACCATGTATTAAAAAGTAAAAGTTTGATTTATGACCGTTAATCTGTTTGGTCCCTTAAAAAGTGGGAGGCACATATATAAACTGTTGTAATTCCTACACCGTTCACCTGATTTGGATGTAAATACCCTCAAATTAAAGATGAAAGTCTGCAGTTAAATCACATCTTGTTTGTTTCATTTCAAACCCATTGTGTTGGTGTATAGAGCCAAAAAGATTAGAATTGTGTCGATGTCCCAATATTTATGCACCTAACTATATATATATATACACATATACATATAATACGCGTGTATATAATACGTGTGTTTGTGAATATATACACACACACACACTTTTATTTCCTATATATGTATAATAGATTCTAATTAAAGCATTTTATAATATATTATACATATATAATGCATATATATGATTTCATTATAAGTGTATTTTGAGATATATGTGTATATTATAGTGCCAGTGGAACAAGGGGAAAGTCTCTTGGGTGAGGCCAGGCAGGAGGCTAGTAAGCAGGCTACTCCAGGAGCTTTTGGCATAGGTACGTTTGTTACAATATATGTAATGTGTTTTTAGGTTTTAGCTTTATAATGTGTGTGTGTGTGTGTGTACGGGATGCATTGTGTTTCTTTGTGTGTGTGTGTTAGTCAAGCAGTGTGCGTTTATGTGTGTGGGGGTTTGCATTCGGTGTTTCTGTGTGTGGAAGAAATGCATTGTGTTTCTTTGTGTGTGTGAGGCAAGTAGTGTGCGTTTCTGTGTGTGTGTGAGTTGCATTGGGTGTTTCTGTGTATGAAAAGGATGCATTGTTTTTTTTCTGTGTGTAAGGGATGCAATGTGTATGTAAGGGTTGCATTGTGTGTTTCGGTGTGTGAGGGAGGGTTTGTGTAAGGGATGCAATGTGTGTTTCAGTGTGTGTAAGGGATGCATTGTGTGTGTTTCCGTGTGTGTAAGTAATGCATTGTGTGTTTCAGTGTGTTTAAATAATGTATTGTGTGTTTAGGTATGTTTAAGGGGTGCATAGTTTGTTTCTGTGTGTAAGGGATGTATTGTGTGTGTAAGTAATGCATTGTGTGTCTCAGTGTGTGTAAAGGAAGCATTGTGTGTATAAATGAAGCATTGGGTGTTTCAGTGTGTATAAATGAAGCATTGTGTGTTTCTGTATGTGTAAGTGATGCTTTGTTTGTGTCTATGTGTAAGAGATGCAGTGTGTGTGTAAAGGAAGCATTGTGTGTTTCAGTGTGTGTATTGGATGCATTGTGTGTGTAAGGGATGCCTGGTGTGTTTCATTGTGTGTAAGGGATGCATTGTGTGTGTAAGGGATGCGTGCTGTGTTTCTCTGTGTGTGTTCTTTGTGTTTCACTTCATGTGTGTAAGGGAAGCATAATATGTCTCTGTGTGTAGTGAGGCATTGTGTGTTTCTGTTTGTGTAGAGATGCATTGTGTGTTTCTGTGTCTGTGTAGTGTGAGAGAGAGTTTGTGGGGTAGGATTTTTATAAAAAAAATTTTTTAAAGATTGTTATTATAATTTTTTTTTTTTTAAGTGTTTTTTTCCCCCTTCCCTGTATTGTACCTGTATCAGGGAATGGGAACAGCATATTCCCTGGTGGTCCGGGGCGCTGTAGAGGCTCTCTCCCTTCACCTCTGTTGCTCTTCTCGCAAGTCCCGTCACCACGTAGAATTGAGCGCTGCCATAGTAACAGAAACAAGGCCCAAACGCAGAGGTGAATACTGAGATCCTCCTGTCCACCAGTAGTGGTGCACAAACTCTGCAAAGACTTTTGAATTCCCTTACTAAGTCTGTGTGTATGTATGGGGCCCAGGCCACTGCAGATAGAGAACCCGGCTTGCGGGACCCACTGGTGGCCTGTGTCCCCTACAAGTGCAGGGACTGTACCCCTTGTCCAGATCGCCGGGCCTGTGACAAATATACAACATCCAGCGCACTCACATATTCACTAAACACCAATTTCAAGTCTCACAGAGACATTTTATTTAGCCAATCCCCTAATCCTTCCACAGTTCAATCTGAAGATGTTCAAAGACTCTGCATAAAACAGTATCTTAGCAGAATCTAACCCACAGTCTGCAAAAAGTCACCCCACAAAAAGTGCAGAGCCTGTTACAAAAAGAGACATTGGAAAGGAGTCTACATACTATTGCCACTCCTGCCCATCTCTACCTGGCCTATGTGCTTTTGATTCAGACCTTGTACAGTTGCTTCCTTCCTTAAAGGGTTAAATGAGCACTCCACGCAGCTGAAGCACTTTAGCTTGCTGAACTGCTTTATGTGTGACGTGTGTACCCCCTTTTTTCATTTACAAAAAGTACACAATTCAATAGAAATTGGCACTTTTCTAAATTCAGGTTTTCTTTTGCTGTGTTCTCACCAGCCCTCCAACACACTCAGAGGTCATTAAAGTAAGACTTTCTTCTATTATCTTATGGACTCTTGCCTGTATATACGTTTAGTTATTTTATCTAGTAAATTATTATAAATATTAAACTACTGAGAAAGGCAAATGTCTAACAAAACCAAACATTTGATTTGTTCCTCCTGTGTTCATGCCATGCCAGATGGCTACAAGAAGAAAGTTTGTGGCAATTGTTCTAAAGAAGCTTCTGAGGAAGCTAAAAGGCGAAAAAGATTTCATCTTCTTGTCATGGTTCCAAAATACTGTATAAAAAATATTTTGTACATAAGAACAGCTGCCATTCAATCTACACAGTCTTTACTGTGTACCTTACAGCTAGCAAATACCCTTTTAAGGCAAACACAAAAACATTTTGAGGTTACAGATTCAAGTTCTGTTCCTCATCCGTTGACTTTGCCTCCGAAGGTTCTACTGTCTCCTCTGATGAGGAAAATGACTTGGTGGTGTTAAGCACCAGTGTTTGAGCGACCACGTACCAAGGCCCTGATGCAGCTTCTGCGGATCCCAAGAGCTAGGAGCTTGATGCAGACCTCCCAGGAAGCAGATAGAGAGGCTCTGCAGGAGATATGTATCCAGTACAGAAACAAGGCAAGACTAGGACAGGCACCTAGCAAGAAAACAAGACAAGACAAGACTAGAAGAACTCAGAACTGGAGCAGGACAGAAATCAGAAGCCAGAACATGTACACAAGACATGAGGGAAACATGAGTAGGGCAGGACAGGACTGTACATGAACTGGGAATACAAGACAAAATAAAACATGACCAGATATGAAAGGCAAAACAAGAGGAGACATAACTAAGTACTAATATGTGCAATAAACATTGGAGATTTAGACATACATAAATGGCCAAGATGTATGCAGCCCACCCCTGTGTCAAAGTACTCCAATTATGGTGGGTTCCTATCTGCCTAGATATGCATGACTAAATAAACAATAATAAAACACACACAGCACTTACCTGTAAGAAAGGGGCAGAGGACTTGGAACAACTGTGTGACGAAGTGCCCTTCGCCACTTGTGCCTGGAGAGGACTGCTTGCCTGCCTCTTGCCCTGTGACTATGGACCCTGGGAGATTTGGCCCGTTCAATTCAGTATGATAGGAGTTATGTATTTTTGTATCCTTTTGTGTTTTACTGGGAACATGTGCTCAATGGAGTCTGCTTCTATCCCTGGATAATTGGATTACTTTCCCCATTGTCTCCAGGCTAGAGGGCTCTGTAAAACCAGTTTGGGCCAGATATCCATGCTGCCAGCCAGGCCCCAAAATATACTTTACTAACTTCTGAACCCCTGGTCTGATTCATGCCATTTTTTGATATGTTGTTTCCCTGAATGGATTGATTGTGAATATATAATTTTTATGTGAATGTGATGTATATTTTAGAAGTTATGAATGCTGTAAAAACTGTATTAGTTCTGGCCAGCAGATAATTGAGCTTTGTGTATTGTAGAAACTCAATTATCTAGCCTGGCCCAGAGGAGGAGTTTTGTGTTGCATAAATTGTGAGTTCTGTGTGCCAGTAAATCAGTCTTGTTCCAGCATTAAGCTTTGGCTCATGTTTGGGGGATTGGAGAAATACACTCTGGGGATTGCTATAATCACTATACTCCCCAGGGTATGATCACTAAGTTCTGCTAAGAGCTTGTTCCTGTTCCTGCTCTCTGGGGAAAGAGAGGTTCACCCACTGGAAGCTGGATCCTGGCCTTGGGTCCAGGGTGGGTGGAGACAGCAGAGACCCCGGCGCAGTTGCATCGCTGGAAGTGGGGTCTGCAGTGCTGATGGTGTCAGTTGGAGTGCTTGGAGTCCTCAGCGAGCACTAGGAGCATCGATTGGCGGAGGTACTCAGTCGGAGTGCCAGCGGTCCGTCACAAACTTCCTGCAGGAACCAACTGAAACAAAAGGATTCATGGGAAAGGAACGGGTGTGGCAACAAAAAACAAGCATTTAAAGGAATCCAAGAGACTGGGAATTCCAGGAACGGAATACAGGAATGAACCCAGAAAACCCAGCATAAAGAAAACCAGACATGGAATAGAAAACCAGAAAAACCAAGAAAAACTAAACAAGAATTGTAAAAAGAGTACGGGATACCAGAAGCCAAGGCCAGACATCTCAGCAGAACAGGACAGGATGTGACAATATCTCAACATTTTAAAACGTTATTTTTCATTAAAGAAGTTAGAAGAAAAATTGGATCCAGGATTCCATGGATAAAAAAAGCAGAATCTTCTTTAATAAAACAGTTTTTCACTATGGCAGCACTAAGAAAAGCCCTTATTGCAGAAACATCAATGGCTTAATTTGGGTGAATCCAAGGGAGATCTTTTGAAACTTTAACATAACATTAGAATGGCATCTAACTTTTGTGCAGATTCCACATCTGAAGTTGGGTTTCTCCAATGTAGCCAGGAGGACAGTGTGGCTTAGATCAGCAGATTCAGCTTTAAAGAACACCCTTTGTGATCTACCCTTTGAAAACTATTTTGGTCACATCTGGATGATTTGCTCAAACAGATGGCAGAAGGGGAAAAAAGCCAAGTGGAACAAAACATTCTTCTGCAGAAACAAATCTTCCTATAGGGATTCTATTTCATAGACCCACATCTAGAAGAAACCAGAGGCAGCCTTTTGACTATAAGAACAAGGGAAAGTTCTCTGAGGAAAAACAAGGATCGTAGATTATGTCGCCATTTCTGTTGAAGGAAGACTCCAGGATTTTTCGCCAGAATGGAAAAATACCACCACACAAAACGGAATCCTGTCAATTGTAAAAAGAGACTACTGATTGGAATTAAGCAAAATATTTCCAAGATGTTTAATTTGTTATGCAGTCCATTTTCTCAGTACAGCCTTCTTTTCAAAGAAGTCCAAACAACATTGAAGAAAAAAGTAATCAAAGATCTTCCCAAAGCAAGGAGTGTCTCTTAAACAGTTTGGCAAATTTTCTATAGTATCCTTAAAGAGATAATCAAGCCATTTGGCTAGTGGCTCCATAATCCCTTCCTATGGCAGACACTATAGGCCATCCTGGTGGATTATCTTTGTTCTTGTGGATCTTCAGTAGTGTGTAGAAGACAGGTGTCTTAGGACAGGTCTTGAATGAGTATTGATATAGATCTGGTGTTAATTCGAATCCAACCCTTTCTGTTGGATCACTGGATAATTTCATGTAGGTGTTGGTTACTGAAAGTTGTTGTAGTATTTCAATCTGATAATCGTTATAGTCTGTGTTTGCTTTGCTATCTAAATATAAAGGGTTTCTCTTACCACCATGACCACTTCAGTGATTTGATCATGGTGGAAAGTGTCTGTGTAGTGTTTCAGTTTGAAAAACTGCACATACTGAGTTATTGTAAATTGTGTGCTGGGGGCCAGTTGCACCCCCAACACACGTGACTCCGGCAGCCCAGAACTCTGTTCCAAACTGCTCAATTTCAATTCTATGCATAAAAACATATGTCATCGACAGCCGTAAAACTCATCCTACAAGCATGCAGAGCTCCTGCAAGGGGAAGATAGTTTTCCCCTCTCTCCCTCCTACTGTATACTCTCTCCGCTAACTGAATGTTTTTTTGTTGTTGTTGTTTTTTTGTACAATAAAGGTCTCCGGTGAATCAGTCCAATCACAGGCTTCTCTGAGAATCCTGTGATTGGACCACGCAAATGCCAGGTGACTTCAGGACAGAGCATGGAAGATCAGCACTGGGATCTTTGCCCAGCGCTGGTATAAGGTAAGTTTAAAAGTTTTTAATACAGTTTGGGGGGCTGGAGATCTATTATTAACTTATATGTCAGTACAATCTAAAAAAGTGATTGTTTAAGGGTTGGAGTAACCCTTTAATCTGTATTTTATTTATATATTTTTCTTTTCTAATCTCAGTTCGACCAGAGGTGAAGGTTTCAGATCAGAAAGCAGATGGAGCCACAAAGATTTACTGCCACGTCTACGGGTTTTACCCCCAGGACGTGGATGTGAATTGGAAGAGAGATGACGTTGACGTTCCCTCAGATGAACCCAGACAAGTTCTTCCCAATATGGATGGCACTTACCAGATCACAGTTACTGTGGAAGTACCACTAAAGGACACAGGGAAATACACCTGCCATGTGGAACACATCAGCTTGGAGAAACCACTTATAGTAAATTGGGGTACGTGTCACAATAACACAGATATCATGAGTTGTTTTTCAGTGTGGGCTTTTTGAGTAATTTTAGTCTCTATCGGTCGTAAAGTAATAAACTCAATAATATGATAATTACAGAAAAGGGTGAGTGTAATGGAGCTCCCTGTACCCCTGGCTGGGTACCTCCACCAAGGACCGCTTCTTACCTGGAGCAGTGGACAAACCACAGCACTTCTGCCCACAGTCGCCGTGGTTTGACTGGGGTCCTGGAACCGCTCCCTCCTGGAGCCGAATGGGGAACTTGCTCTATCAACCCCCAGGCACTGGATGACACTCAGTCCTGGGAGCTCTAGTCCTTACAAGAACTTTCCCCAATGAATCCTCCACACTGGAACAGTGATTAGCCCTTTCCCATCCCAGTATCCAGACAACACATAGTTCTGGGAGTACAAGCTGGAATGTTTTAATCTGGCCAGATGGTCTGCTGTTATACAGTTTCAGATACAGTTGATCACGCTCATGACACTCCCATACAAACAAGATAATCCCTCTTCTGGACTAGTTACCAGTCCCAAACTCCTCCCCTGTGCCTGAGAGATAATTGTGTCAGGAACTGAACCAACTCAATTTTCTCAGCGCTTCTACCCCAGTTGACGTGGCTTTACTGGGGTCCTCCTGGAGCCTGTCGATCCTGGGACAAGGTAGGGGACTAGCTCTATTTCCTCTCAAGGACTTGACGACACACAGTCCTGGGAGCTATAGTCCTACAAGGACTTTCTTTGAGGAAGGGACTATTTGAGATAGCTTTAGTAACTTGCAATCCTATTTAGGTGACTTGGTGGAATTCTAGTATTTACTTTTTTTAAATCAATAAAAGTAACACTTTAGTCAAGGAAGACTATTGCAATTTGATTACCAATACTTCATAGGACAGTCCAGTCTTTCTTCAGTGTGGATAAGTTTCCGTTTTTAGGGTAACCCCAGAGTGAGTGTTCTTATTGATCAAGCTCATTTGTTGGTGTTTAGTATAATTATTAAAGAACCAGGTGAAATTTAGCAAAGCTGTATTAGCACAGCAGCATCATTTAGAAGTCGGGGCAGGACACACATATGAAGATCTCAAATGCAAAAAAACTGGCTGCATGTCAAGAGTGGAAAAGAGAAGAAATACAGGAAGAGAACCCACCTCCTCTTCAGCACCAGAGAGACCATATAGGACAGACTGCAAAATGCTACCAGCAGCCAAAAGTCTTCAAACTAGTAGAGGCTGGTGGGGAGCCAGACTGGTCACTTCATGGATTTGAATCTATCCCTAAATGTTTTTAATAATGAATAGGAATATGCATGGCACTACTACCTTCAAAATCTGTGGACTATCCCAAAGATAGGGAATAAACCACATAGATATTCTTATTAAAGAATAAAATAAATAGGGTATTTTAAGGCCAAACTAAAATTTCAAGTGTAATACAGAGGTTTTCCACTAGATGCCTCCAAATGATTACTTTGCAAATATTTATTTTACAGTAAAGTGCTTAATGCAATACAAATTTATTCAGTAGGAAAATTAAAATAAAAAAATATTATTTATAAAGCACCAACAATTCTGCAGAACTCTACAATAGGTGGACTAGCAGACAAGTGTGACGGACGTCTGGTACCCCGGCTGGGTACCTCCGTCAAGCTTGCTTCCTAGCTCTCACCGAGACACCAGCAGCGTTCCAGCCCCTAGCTGCCGCAGCTTGGCTGGGGTCTCGCTGTCTCTTACCACCCTGGAGAAGGGTCCTGGATACAGCTTCAAGTGATTAAGCTCTCCTGCAGAGACTATAGCTGTGTAGCTGGTCAACCCAAACACTAGCCTAGACTGAGTGAAGGGTGAAAAGGAATTGGTTTATTATGGCCAAATTGCCTGTTTATATACATGGCTCCCAGCAGAGGGTCTCTATTCAATACAACACAAGCCCCTCCCATAGATCTCTGGGCCTGGGAGATAATTGCGTTAAAGACCAGTATGCTAATTATCTCCCAGGAATAGAGAACCAAACACAAAATATAAAAACATAAAAGTACCCCAAAACATAATAAAAACACACAATAACCCCACAAATCATACAAAGCACTCAGATCCATACAGCACAAGGGAATCGCCACTGTGTCACAAGTTCTGACCGGCCGTACACATGGCCCCATGCCCAAAACAGTTCCAGGGCAGTTAGTGCTTTTGCCGGTCATCTTTCGGGAGCTCCTGCGGCCAAAATACGGAGTGCTCCTCCTGGCTTTCATGAAGAGTTTATTCATCTTAGTCTCAGGCACATTCCCTCCTAAAAGCAATTGCATGGTGGTTCGCAAAGTGGTCAAAACCACCGGACCAAGTTGCCTGGGAACCACACGGTCCCCTAGCCGAAAATATTTCCAGAGTAATCAAAGCTAGGTATCGCTGGAGACCGACTGGGAACCACGAAGTCCTCATGCCGAAATTTGTTCCAGGCAATGGCGGCCAAGTACCCCTGAGACTGTTCATGGTTTTGGTGCATGCGAACGGCCACCAGGGAGCCAGAGTTCGGCTGAATTCGGGAGAAGGGAAAATGCCGAACCTGGGCAACTGGGGGAAATTCTCTTCGGGAGGTTAAACAGGTTAACTCCCAAACTGGAGAGCAAACAATGGGTCGCAAGAGTATTCTGAGAACGGACAGCAGCTAAAATAGCCTGCCCTTCGGTGGGTCCCCGCTCAGAACTCATTTGGTTTTACGCTCACTTGTGCCATTACAGAGAGAACATATCTGAACAGATATCAGACTGGACCACCCATAACATAGGCAGACCCGAATGCCAGCAAGTTCTCTCTGCACGAGAGATACAGCAACCCCAGACGATCGCTTCAGCCTTGTTAGGCATCGTCAGTGAGGCATAGCTGATATCTCTCTAGGCACCGTGAGCAAGGGGTCCACGTCTGGATTACCCTTTAGACCAATGGAGAGCAAACAATGGGTCGCAAGAGTATTCTGAGAACGGACAGCAGCTAAAATAGCCTGCCCTTCGGTGGGTCCCCGCTCAGAACTCATGCTGGTTTTAGCTCAACTTGCGCCATTACAGAGAGAACATATCTGAAGCATATCAGACTGGTCCCACCCATACGGGCAGTCCAGACCCGAAATGCCAGCAAGTTCTCTCTGCACGAGAGATACAGCAACCCCCAAACTGGGTTTGTGGACATGGCCCATAGTCCTTGTTGCAGGAGACTAGCCAGCAGGATTCTCCAGGAGCTCGTGGCATAGGCATGTTTGCCACAACGAGCATTTGTAACATGATGAGTTAGACGGACAGGAACAGAGGATGTTGAGGACCCTTCTCAAACAAGTTTGCATTCCACAGGGAGTGGGGTAAAGTGGCACAAGAGGTGCGGGTAGGATGTATTTCATTAATGGGGGGGGGAGCTGATAGTGCAGAGAGAAGGGGAGAAAGCTGATAGCGCAGGGTGGAGTAGAGGGAGCTAATAGCACAGGGAGGAGGGGAGAGAGCTGATAGCGCAGGGTGGAGGGGAGGGAGCTGATAGCGCAGGGTGGAGTAGAGGGAGCAAATAGCACAGGGAGGAGGGGAGAGAGCTGATAGCACAGGATCGAGGGGAGGGAGCTGATAGCGCAGGGAGGAGTGGAGAGATCTGATAGCGCAGGGAGGAGGGGAGAGAGGTGTTGGGTCAAAGAAGAAGGGAGAAGGACGCCAGCCTCATATCTTTTACTGATCCAATTCCACCCCCTGGTGCAAACAGCTAATAAGAGCCCAGTTGGCAAGATACTAGGCTGACCTCTCTAATTATTGCAGATTATTTGGCTCCCTTATGGGCCCATTAACAAACAATAGGGGGCTGTCCGGCAAAGTTGAGAACTTTAGACAGAGTTTAATCAAATTTTTGGAAGAACCCCAAAAATCTGAAAAGGCATTTTTTCTTTACTCTCACTAGCAACAGTACAGAGGAGTAAACAAGGGAAACTTGTTAAAACCAGAAAAATTTATATAGTTTATTTTTACTTTATTGCAAAAAAGGAGGGGGGAAGGGGCTTACGGATGAGCCTCTGCCACTTCCAACACACTCATACTAGGCACTAACGATTATTACTAACAATCCCCTCCTCAATGGTGCCTAAATCGAACCTACTACATTTATTTTTAAGTAAACAGAGTTATTCACTAACATGACAATTCAAAATTATTTTTAAATTTAAGGTCAAGATAGTCGAATTAGAACTATGAGCTATGCCTTCAGTTTGACTACTTTGGCCTTAAATTTGAAATTCACTTTGAATTCTCACTTTACTAAATTAAGGGTTTTGTCAAAATGTCAGCTGGGAATTGCTAGATCTCAATAAATCCTTTCTGGTGCAGGTCTCTTATTACATAATGTCAATGTGCTCGGTGTGTGCAGTGACTTTCTATGTTTGCACCATCTTTATGGAGTTCTGGTTGTCTTCCATCGGTCGGATGGGCATTGGCTCTTTGTTCCCAGGTCCTCTAGAAGTTGGTTAACCCATTGTGTTTCCGTGCATGTTTCTGCTGCTTGTGTAGTACAATGTCCCACTGATTCTTCCTCCGAAGAGACCCGAGCTATAGCTTTGCACAAGGAAGAGGGAGATCTGTTTAAATGGGTCCGATGTACAGGAGGATTTTGTTATCCATAGGATTGGTAGCATTTAGACTTTCCTTGTCTGCCTTCCTTGAAATGCTCCCAGGGAAGCCAACCACTCGGTGACTAATGCATTCTACTTAACCAACTTTCTTCTCTGACCCCTCCTATCCATCTAGATCAGGCTTCCCCAAGCTCCGTCCCTCCAGATGTTGCTGAACTACAACTCCCATGATGCTCAGCCTATTTCATTCATAGAATCATGGGAGTTGTAGTTCAGTAACATCTGGAGGGCCAGAGTTTGGGGAAGCCTGATCTAGATAGTAAGCTCCAATGGGAATAGGGCCCTCAAAACCTCTTGAATTTGTTTGTCATATTTTGTATTTTCTCTTAGACTTTTTATACCTTTTGTCCTTTTACTTCCACCAGCTGTACCCACGGACAGTTATGGACAAGTAATAATAAGGTTCTCTTAACACCTCTTAGATTTTCAGAATTTCTCACCCCTAATCATACCTTTTGTTTCTCTATTATTTAGAGCTGAAGTCAAACCCCGTCCTGTGGATAGTGATTGGTGTTATTGCTGTTCTTGGAGTGATTGGCATCGCTGTAGGATTTGTTATATGGAAGAAGCTTTCAGGTAACAATCTAGCCAACTGCAATGTTACAGACCAAACAGAGCATCTTGTCAGAATATGTTTAAATAAAGCAGGAGCAGGATATCCCTGCATGTTCACAGGTGGAACAATCACTGCCTCAGTGTGGCTGGAGCAGGATATCCCTGCATGTTCACAGGTGGAGAAGTCACTGCCTCAGTGTGGCTGGAGCAGGCTATTCCCTGCATGTTCACAGGTGGAGCAATCACTGCCTCAGTGTGGCTGGAGCAGGATATTCCTGCATGTTCACAGGTGGAGAAGTCACTGCCTCAGTGTGGCTGGAGCAGGCTATTCCCTGCATGTTCACAGGTGGAGCAATCACTGCCTCAGTGTGGCTGGAGCAGGATATCCCTGCATGTTCACAGGTGGAGCAATCACTGCCTCGTTGTGGCTGGAGCAGGCTATTCCCTGCATGTTCACAGGTGGAGCAATCACTGCCTCAGTGTGGCTGGAGCAGGATATTCCTGCATGTTCACAGGTGGAGCAATCACTGCCTCAGTGTGGCTGGAGCAGGATATCCCTGCATGTTCACAGGTGGAGCAATCACTGCCTCAGTGTGGCTGGAGCAGGATAACCCTGCATGTTCACAGGTGGAGCAAGCACTGGCTCAGTCAGAGCAGCTGGGACTCAGACAAACACAGGGATATCCCTAAACCTTTCCAACCCCTGTTTTTAGGCTGCAGATTGCTCTCTCTGTGTTACAGACTCTATCCATTGCCTGTTAAATAATGTCCTGATTGTAGGATGGAATTATTCTACCAGCTTCTAACACAGAATTTTATTTGTTTCTCTTCAGGACAAAATCACAATTCTCCTTCAATAGTAAGTAACACATTTGTCATAATGATAATGTATACATTCACTATGACTGTTACTGGAATGTGTGTCTGAGCTGTATGTGTATTATATGTGTGCTGTGTGCTGTGTGTGTGTGTGTGGGGGGGGAGGATAATTGTAATGACATCCATGCTCGGCCACTTTTTGCAGGGCAGGACTGGGCATACAAAGCATACTCACATGCAGACCAGTGGTGTATTTTGAATTTGTGCTGCCCTAGGCCTGATGAAACACGGGCACCCCCCCAATCTAAATTTGATCCACCCTTTCCTGTCAAGGCTGCACCTCTTCCTGTTTTAGACCAACATGCAGTTTGACTGACACCCAATGACACATTTACTCACTGACAGGCACACACGCTCAGATACACAAACTGTGACACACACACACAAATTCATTGACAGACACACATTCACTCACTAGCAGGTACACACTTTCACTGACAGACAAATGCGCTCACTAAAAGACACACACTTACAGACACACTCATTTACTAACAGACGCACACTCGGACAAACACTGACTGACACATACACTCACTAGCAGATACACACTCATGCACAGACGTACACAATCACTGACAGACACACACAGATTCACTCACAGACGCACACTGACACATTGACTGACAGGCACACACACATTTACTGACAGGCACACACACATTCACTGACAGGCACACACACATTCACTGACAGGCACATACGGACAGGCATGCACATTCACTAACAGACACACACACACATTCACTCACAGACACCACGATACTGACACACTCACACACATTGTCCAACACACAAATTATACGCAATTTAATTTTAATTATCCACCCAGCCTCCCTACCTTTGGGACAGTTGGAGTGGATTCTTCCCTGTGGTCCAGTGGGGCTGGCAGCTGGGTTGGCTCTTGCTGCTGGGCAGGCAGACGGGGACTGTCAGCCTATGCGGGTTGCAAGGGAGCACTCTGTACTCTGAGCTCTTCCTGCTCAGCTCCCTTGTGCGCCGCTTAGTGATCCCAGGAGCTGGAATGACGTCATATTCCGGCTCCCAGCATTGCTAGAACGCCTCAGGGGCCCTGAGGTGGCCGTTTGGTCAGCTCCTGTGTCCCCGTGAAAGAGGCTAACAGGGCATCTGCCAGGGCACTTGGTTGGTGGCTTTTTTTACCGTCCCCTTGAAAGTGCTGCCAGGGCAAATGTCTTGTTAGCCTCATTAAAAATACAGCGCTGATGCAGAGCTGATCTGTCTAAGGCATATGTTCTGGGAGTGCAACTAGCACCCAGCACACAAGTGCCAATAATTCTGGGTGTGCAATTTTACACATCCCAACTACTAGCAGCATGACCTCTTCAAAAAGTACAAGTGGTCATAGTGGTTGGAGTAACAGTTTACGTTGCAGCCAGTACCATGTTTACAAGGAATGGTGGGGGCAGACAATCACAAGGACTGTAGACCACACGGGAGACTTAAGAGAGTGGCAGGGCAGCCAGTTTCATCTCTGGGTCAGTGGGCGTATGTGTGTGTTTGTGCATCTGCATTTGTATCTATATATATCTGTGTGTTTCTGTGCTGCATGTGTGTCAGTGTTTGAAACTGTGTTTGTGTGTGTATTTCCATGTATGTCAGTTTATGTGTCTGTATCTGCGTGTGCTAGTGTGTGTATCTGTGGCCTGTTTATCTACACATGTGTGTATATGGGTATCAGTGTGTGTTTGGCAGTGTATATGTAAAGATGCACAGTTCTCAGTACTCAGACATCAAAACAACACACAAATACACCTCTGTATTAAAACGCAAACACTGCATACAAACACAACCCTACATTCACTCACATATACTCCATACAATCAAATGCTTACATTCAAACACACAAACACTGTTTAGTGCTAAATACAACCCTATAAGGATGGACATATAGATCCCCAGTGTGGGAGTTGTACAACAGATGGGAATCTACCTTTTGGCCACCCTTGTGATTGGGACGGGGGCAAAATAATTATTGGACTTGGGCCCTCTTTACGTTAGTTCCGCCACTGGCTGTGCAATATATGTTTTTATATTTATGATAATTATACTAATAGAATGTTGTTTGTTTGTTTTTCTCTATTTTTAGCTCTGAAAACAGCTGTGGTCATTACGGCTAGTTCCCTATAACGGTAACATATAGCACTGGTGCAATCCTAAAATAAGTTCTCCGCTTTTCAGCTCATACGTGCCATGCAGTACTGTGTAAACAGTGTGTTTGGTGCTGGATGTGATTTTTTTTCTGTCTTTTACCATGTTGGTGTGCACAGCACTAACCTCCATCAATCAGCTCAGTATGCATTCTTCCTGAATTCTGTGTAATGTGTCATTTAACCAGACAGAAATATCCTAAGACAAAAGGAATGGCATACATCATTGATTCACTGGAAATACTAGAGATCAGTGAATTCTGTTTATAAATCGGATCCATTTAATGTATCTGGAGTTAGTTACACATTTATTGATACATAGGACGTTATTTGGAGGTGAACTGTTGGTTATTGGGGTTACCTGATGGAAAAGCTTACATTAGCTGTGCTAGAATGGAGGAAGATGGATCCTTTCAGCTATAAAAATGTAGAGTAATTCTGATCCATAATTCCAATTATGTAAATTGAGAAAACTGTTATTTCAATTTAAGAAGCTGTATCACTGTGATCCCCCAGTACCCTGGTGTATTTTGCTTCATCGTCAAGGCTAACAAGCTTTCAGGAGAGCCTCCCAGTCTAAGCATTTCTGAACAAAATGACCATGCAAACCATCAGTTGTTAGTGTTTTTAAATTCCTTTAAATTCAAACTTTATATCAATTTGTTAATTTTGAACAGATATTCTTTAATGGTGATTAAGGGAGATTCTCAATAAAGTTTTGTGTTCAAGCATTATTACATACCTCCCAACTTCGGCAGTCCAGGAATATGTACGCCAGTGGGAGGGGGTAGGCCAGTGACACAATCACGTAGTTGGCTTCACCTAAAATGTATGGACCCTCCCAGACATGGGGACAGGCTCACCCACATTACTGCCAGGTCAGCCTGGTGTGAATACATGCTGTCTGACAGTCATATTAGCCACTCCACTTTATTTAGTTTGTACACTCGAACCTTTTGGTCTTAATATTGATTTTGATTTTAAAAAATAATTTAAAAATTTTTAATGATATTTTTGAAAAAAAATGATTTATTCATGATATTCTTGTATAATGATTTTACTATATTTCATTTTCTTTCCCTCTATTAGTAGAAGATTATCTCTAATAGATAGTTATTCCAAGTTGTATTTGTATTATAATATTTATAATGTTTTGTATGGTTTCTCTATATGCCTATGGATCAGTGCAAAATATATTATTAATAAGTGTATATGCTTAATATAAGTTTTTATTTTACATGGAATTTCCTTTTTCAATATAACCATTTTTAATACAAATAATTTTTATCTATGTAGTTGTTCTTGATTAAATGTAATCCTTCGTTTTAATTTATCTGTATTCTGATGTACTCTGTTTCAAGCTGTATATCAACTTTTTCTGCGGACAAAATCTGTGATTGAGACTTAATTGGATATGCAAATGAGTCTTTGAACATTAGCCAATCCCTAGGCTGTTTTTACGGACTATTTGATGAACACACCCACTCAGGGTGGACTTATAAGTGGGACACAGGCAGTAAGAAGGTAGATCTGAGGAAGCAGTCGTTACGGCAAAACGCATCAATATGCTTCCGACGTCATCACGCACGCAAGTGAAAGTAACCCCACCTCTCGGAAGTACCAAGTGATACCTGCAGTTCGGTCCTAGGATTCTGGCCACATACCGAGACCAACTGAGAACCTTACCCGGTTAGGAAGAAAGAAAGAGGGTCTACTTGCCTGCTGCTATTTTTAAAGGTTGTGTGAAATAAAGATTTGTTTTACATCTACACCAGCCTCAAGTTTTCTGCCTACGTCTCCCTTGGGATTAATGTTTTGGAGCCTTTATAGTTAGACTTGTGAGTTTGTATCGATCATTTTTTATTTTCTTAGTGTTATTACAATATCACATTATACATTTTCTCTTTCCCTTTTTTTTCTTATACATGTGTATGGATATTTGGTACCTCTTTCAATGGTTTGAGAAAATACCATTTTGTAAGTTGTGGAAATTTTAAATATTTTTCTGCACTTTTTTGGGCACAAATATCAAAGAAGTGTTATATAACGCATTATTGATTGCACTTTGTTGGGTTTTTTTTTTCTTTCTCTCTCCTTGGATTGAGATGCCTGGAGAAATAGCAGAAAGACATCACATTCTGAGCTCGAGTTCTCCCTTCACCACCTCCTTCCCTTAACTCTAAGCAGAGGATCCAAGAGGGTCTTCCACGTCGAGATATTACCAAAAGTATCTGTTGTGCTTCAAAGATGCCAATTCCAATCAGCCGCCACATAATGGGAGACATGCAAAGCCGCAGTTGGAAATGAAGCAATATTTGGAGTGTAAGAAAAACTCAGCAGTGACAAGTTCACTTTAACCAATTTAAATGCAGCTCTGTAAATAAGAACCGTGCGGAATAAACCAGTCTTGAAAGCATAGTCTGAATTCCCTTGGTCACAGAGTGAAATGGAGGAAGGGTAAGAAAATGAAGCTGCTGTATCTGAGTATTTGGCATAGGAACTGATGTGGAATATATTTACTATGGTATTCACACAACCGTAAAGTTGCCTGAGCATCATGGGAATTGTAGTCCATTACAAATTTAATGCCACATGTTAGCCATCATCTCATATTGGGTACGTTACTGAATACAGCAGGCGGACATTAATCCCACAGATCAGTAATGGATATCTTTCTGTATTGAAGCTATAGTGGCCACATTTTATATGGTTCTCAGGCAGTCGTACAGCTGGCTAAGTGCAATGAGGTTTGCAGTCCATACGAAATGCAATGCCAAACGTTTAGCCATCTCTGATGTTTGATTAAAATGTCCCATGATTAATTCAGTAAATTAAAAACACGTGCAGGCATCATTGGCTGCTGTAATTAACCACTTTTTACAACCAAACAATTTTAAATTATGCAAACTTAGACCTTTTTGTTTTTCAATTTATTCTTTCATACTTATCTTGCAATGTTTCACACAGGATCTTAGTTATTAAAGGGATGCTACTGGCCTCAAAACAACAAGGACCAAGCTTCATTTGTTTGTTTTGCATTGAAGGAGACAAGCAAGTTTTGCTATGTGTGCGATCAACCGTAATTGCCATTTTTCTCATTAATGGCACCCAGGGCCGGCGCTTCCCATAAGGTGACCAAGGCAGCCGCCTAGGGCGCCACATAGGAGGGGGCGCCCTGCGTCCTCGTCGCCTGCCCTTCTAATGCTGCAGCCGCCTGAGCGCTCTATAGAGAGCCTCAGGCAGCTGCAGCACTGCCTCTCTCCCCCCTTTCTCCTCACCCCCCCCACCCCTAACCTGTGTAGCGTGGCCGAGCTCCTCTCCGGTCTGCGGTACAGGAATATGTACTCACTCAGTGTGCACTTCCCGTCAGTCCGGTCGGGTACAGGAAACAGAAGCTCGAGAACACAGGGAGGGGGCATGACGAGAACACAGGAAGCGGGGAGGTGAGGAGAACGTGGGATCGTGATGAGAGCGTGGGGGGGGGAGGGGAAGAGTCCACTGAGGGAGGGGAGGTAAGGAGAACGGGGTTGGGGAGAACAGGAGAACGTGGGGGAGGGAGAGACCATTAAGGGAGAGGGTGGTGGAGAGACCACTAAGGGGCAGGGGAGAGCTCTAAGGGACGGAAGGGAGAGCTCTATAGGACAGGGAGCTCTTTCACACAACACACACACACACACAATGCATCCCTATACATACACAAACACAAAATACATCCCTACGCACACAGAAACACAACATGCTTCCCTTACACACAGAGAAACACACAATGCAACCTTTACACATAAAAACAATGCATCCTTTGCACACATACACAGAAACACACAATGCATCCCTTACACACACATGCAAACACACACTGTTTCTCTTACACACACAGAAACACAATGCATCTCTTACACACACTCGATGCACCCCTAAAGACACACACACTGCATCCCTTACATACACAGAAACACACCTTGCATCCCTTATGTATACAAACACAGATTCACAAAATGCATCGCTTACACACAACCAGAAACACAAACACACACTGCTTTCTATCCCTTACACAAAAGCACACTGCTTCCACTACACACAAACACACTGCATCACCTACAAAAACTGGTATCCCTATACACTGCATTACATAAGCACACACATTAGATCCTCTACAATAACACATAACACATCCCCTACACACTCCACTCCCTGTGAGCGAACTCATGGGTGGAACATGTAGGTGGACTTATGGTTGGGCTTTGTGGGCATATTCACCGTCAAGCCCTGGGGCCCAGACCTTGAACTGTGTAAGGGGTCCCCAAACAATGAAGCTGCTTCCCGTTCTCCCAGAATATTGAATTTTGTGACCACAGTTACAAACAGCCTCCAGAGATCCTGTTCTACACCAGACCAGTTGAGCCAGACTGCAGCAAGAGCCCATCACCATCCTCATCTGGTTGTAAGTAGGCAATCTAGTATATTATTAGTGAAACTGATCTCGAATCTACCTCACATTAAAGGGACACTATAGTCCCCAGGACCACTGCAGCTTAACACCTTAAGGACCAAACTTCTGGAATAAAAGGGAATCATAACATGTCACACATGTCATGTGTTCTTCAGGGGTTAATGAAGTGGTTGTATAGCCTGTCCCTGCAGACTTCTTAATGCAAACACACACTGGCAGATCATATGGGTGGGGCATTGTGATGTCACATGGGGGGGGCAAATATTTATTTTGCCTAGGGCGGCAAAAATCCTTGCATCGGCCCTGATTGCACCAACACATATTATAACCGTTTTTAAAGCACATTAAGGGCATTAATTTGATGTGACATATATAGATAGGTCTGGAAATATTTGGACTGACACAAGTTTTGTTATTTTGTCAGTTTACCAAACTAAATTCAAGTTACAGTTAAATAATGAATACAAGCATAACGTGCAGTCTCTCAACTTTAATTTGAGGGTATTTACATCCAAATTGGAGGAAGGTTTGGGAATTCTTACTATTTAATATGTAGCACCCTCTTTTTCAAGGGACCAAAAGTAATTGGACAATTGACTCAAAAGCTGTTTTATGACAGGTGTGGGCTATTCCTTCATTAATTAAGCAGGTAAAAGATCTGGAGTTGATTCCAGGTGTGACGTTCGCATTTGGAAGCTGTTGCTGTGAACCCACAACATGCAGTCAAAGGAGCTCTCAATGCAAGTGAAACAGGCCATCGTTATATTGCAAAAAAAAAACATCCATCAAAGATAGTAGGAACATTAGCAGTGGCCAAATGAACAGGTTGGTACATTCTGAGAAAAAAAAAAGGAACACTCTGGTGAGCTCTGCAACACAAAAGGTCCTGAACGTCCATGGAAAACACCAGTGGTGGATGGTCGTAGGATCCTTTCCATGGTACATAAAAACCCATTCACAACATCCAGCCAAGTGAAGAACAATCTCCAGGAGGTAGATATATCATTATTCTAGTCTACCATAGAGAGAAGATTCACAAGAGCAAATACAGAGTTCACCACAAGGTGCAAACCATTCATAAGCCTCAAGAATAGAAAGGCCAGATTAGACATTGCCAAAAAAACATCTAAAAAAAGCTAGCCCAGTTCTGGAACATCATTTTTTTTGGGACATATGAAACTAAGATCAATCTGTACTGGAATTATGGAGGGGAGGGGGGGAAACAAACCTCTCAGGTGGGTCCTACACTAACCTTTCACCTTTCTTCCTTGAGCTTCAGACAAAGAAATCTTAATGAGACAGAGAGAGGTATTTTTCGAAACCCCTACATAATTATTAACCCTTATAACACATGGGTTAGGCTGCAGCCTTGTAACATAGCTGTGTGATACAAGAGTGAATACAAATACACAAAAATAAGTCCTGTGCTCAAACTCCCACTACGCTTGGGTGGCAGCAATGACCACAGTACACGTCAGCCCCAATACATACAGTAAGAGCGTTTTACACTTGAAGAAGCCCTTATACTGGCGAAATGTGTAGCATTGTTTTACTATTCTAATTTTTTAGCATTAAAGCATATTTGGCATCCACTCATTTGTGTGTATGACCATTTATATTACTTTTTTTGCTATTATTAATTTAATGAATTCTGTTCCTTGGAGTATCTACCCTACATCTGTACCCAGGTGAGGATATCTCTCTGGAGAATTTACCCGAAAATATATCCCTGGTGGGGATTATACCACCCAGGTGCTGTTAATTGAGCAGTATCAATACTCAACTAAATGTGAATAAATTACTATTATTCTTGTGATTAATAAAACCATTTTTATTTTAATATTTTTAACATGCTCACTAATTCTAATGTTTAAAGATCTAGATGTTTTATCCACATATTGGTAGCCACAATCACAATTTAATAAATAAATAACATTTCTGGAGTGGCAAGTGATAGGGGATTTAAATTTATAGCTTTTTAAAGTGCTGTTAGACTTAAAATATTTAACGCTCTTATTACTTATATTAGTATTGTTGCAAGCACTGCAAGTGCCACAGTGATAAAAGCCTTTCTGGATCTCTGCAAGACTAGATCAAAAATTAATTGGAGTTTCCTTATCTATAAAACTCTTAGTTAAAACTTGTTTTAAATTCTGCTCCCATCTAAAAACAAATCTATGTTTAGATCCTACATATTTTAAAATGTCTTGTTCTTGAGTTAAAATATGCCAGTTTTTGTTAATATTTTTTTAACATTTCCTGTTACTTGGGTAGTTAAACATAAGAATCTGGGCACTCTCAGATAGATTTGTATTTCTATCCTTATATTGCAAGAGTTTTGATCTTTTCACACTTAAAGTGTGTCACGATCTCCAGGCGGCTAAGTGTCGCTGGGGGACCGACCGGGAAGTCTCCATGCCGAAAATAGTCCCCCTGAAATCTATTCGTGGTTTTTGTCCGCCAGGGAGCTAGCGCTCGGTTCTCTGGAAAGTACCAAACCAGGGGGAATAAAATATGGGTCTTTACAGTCGTTGACTTGGCCAGCTGAATTTACCTTCCTGGTGGCTCTGACAGGATTTGAACCCTGGACGCTGGCTTCTTGAGTCCTGCTCTTTTGCCACTGAGCTATCCAGCCATTCATAGTACTGCTTTAATAGGTGTCTTTGTCTTGTTTCCAGCACTGGGAGTTGAACTTACCCGTGGCTGCTCTAGCACACCTGTAACCCATATTGATTGGCTGGATATAAAAGACTGCCTCATCCTGGGAAAGGTGTCAGTTCATTGACTCTGGTTCCCTTGTTTGGTTCTTGTCACTCCGTATCAGCGTTCCAGTATTTCCTGTCTGATCCTGGGTTCTGACCTTGGCTTTCCTCCTGGACTACTCTGATCTCTGGCTTCCCCTGACTTTGGCTTTCCTTGACTACGCTTCTGCTAATACCTGCTGTACTGCTACTTGGAGCACTATTCCTGGAAAGCCCCTGTGCACAGACTCACAGGTCAGGTGGCGTCTTACCTGGTCACCGTGGTCTGTGTCTACTTTGCAAGGGTGAGCTTATAACTCTGCGAGCCGGACTCCCCATCAGGTAAGACTCCTGACAAAGTGCTATTGATCTCATCCTGTAATATAGCTTTAGCGTAAACCTTTTGTACAAATTTTTTTTTTTATTTTTTTTTTAAAGTTAGACTGGATAATAAAATCTGACTGATTAGAACAATTTCTACGCATTCTAAGGAACTGTCCCTTAGGAATATTAGTTAGCCATGAACGATGGTGACAACCGTCTATCTCTATGTAACAATTTACATCCACTTGTTTAAAAAAAGTATGTGTACTTAAAATTTTATCAGAGACACGAATCTCCAAATCTAAAAAGTTGATACTAGTTCTACTGACATTTTTCGTTAATTTAATGCCCCAATTGTTGTTATTCAAACCCTCATAAAAAACATTAAAAAGATCCATAGAACCCTTCCAAATGATAAAACTATCATCAATATATCTTCTATAAAAGGACCAAATTCACGCTATAGCCTCCCTCCTGGTAAATAAAATATTTTCCCCAAAAAGCCACTAAAAGGTTGGCGTAACTTGGCGCGAACTTGGTCCCCATAGCAGCCCCCCTAATCTGAAGATAAAAATCACCACAGAACCAAAAATAGTTATTATTTAAAATCAAATTAATACTGTGACGGACCACCTGGCACCTTGACCGGGTACCTCTGTCAATCGATGCTCCTAGTGCTCACCGAGGACTCCAAGCACTCCACCAGACACCATCAGCACCGTAGACCCCCAAACCTACGCAGCTTGG